TTTTTAAAGATTTTATTTATTTATTTGACAGAGATAGACACAGCGAGAGTAGGGACACAAGCAGGGGGAGTGGGAGAGGGAGAAGCAGGCTTCCCGTGGAGCAGGGAGCCCGATGTGGGGCTCGATCCCAGGACGCTGGGATCACGACCTGAGCCGAAGGCAGACGCTTAACGACTGAGCCACCTAGGCGCCCTGTTCTTCTATAATCTTAAAAAATTTAAAACTTGCTGTTTTTCTAGGCACCATTAATATAATGGGGCTCTTTAATGGAGACAACAGTGCGGCCCTACTTTGTGCCGCTCTTAGACTGCTGAGTCTGGGTATGACAGTTTTGTGGTGAGCAGCCAACAAAGTGAATGGCTTGGAAACTGTATCAGATAAGGAAAGCTGGTAGGAGAAAGCCCAGCAAGGAAACTTAGGGAGAGCCTAGAACTTGAATGCTACCTTCAAACATGCCAAGGGATGACCTGTGCAAGAGGACCACTGGCAGAAACTAATGGGACAGAGAGGTCTCTCCCAGAGAAGGAAGAGCAAAACTGGCCAGATGCTTCATGGGGTACTGGAGAGAGAATTCTAGCACAGAATGGGTGGTTTGACTAGCTGACCCTGAGGACCTTTCTCAGCCTTAATTTTGGAATTTTTATAAATTGAAAGTGTTCTATCAGAATTCTCTTTAAAATCAAATTTTTGAACAGGTGAAATCTCAGCAAAGGCTGTAGTTTAGTTATCAGTATTATACCAATGTTAATTTCTTGGTTTTCACAACATGCCATGGTCATACAAGATACTGACATTAGGAAAAACTGGTTGGAGGGTATATGGGAACTTTCTATATTATTTTTTGCAACTTTTCTATAAATCTAAAATTACTCCAAAATAAAATGTTTACTTAAAAAAAAAAAAAAGCAAGGGTGCCTGGGTGACTCAGTCATTGGGTGTCTGCCTTCGGCTCAGGTCATGATCCCAGAGTCCTGGGATCGAGTCCCACATCGGTCTCCCTGCTCCGCGGGAAGCCTGCTTCTCTCTCTCCCACTCCCCCTGCTTGCGTTCCCTCTCTCGCTGTCTCTCTGTCAAATAAATAAATAAAATATTTTTTAAAAATCAAATTTTTGAACTCCACTCTGCGTAAAAGAGCTGTTTCAGACTAAGTGAAACAGCTAGGTGCTAAGGAGCTAGGGTCTTCAGGTTTCAAGTGCCAGAACTGTAATCTGTGGGGGCGCCTGGCTGGCTCATTTGGTAGAGCATGTATGTGACTCTTAATCTAAGGGTCTAAAAGTCGTGACTTCAAGCCCCATGCTGGGCGTGGAGCCTACTTAAAATTAAAAAGAAAACAGAGCTGTAATCTATATTTGTCATTTACAGTTTACAAAACATACATTATTTTATCTCTAGTTCACAGTCATGATGTAAGCAGGGTTGGTATTATCATTATGTACAAGCTCAGCAAACTGCATCAACCAGCCCAGGGTCACTGAGCTGCTGGCTGAGCTGGGCTTCAAATCTATCTCCTCATTCCAAGGTATTTTTCCACCACGCACTATCAACTCTCCAGGTTCTGGAAACATCTCTGCTCTGCCTCAGCTAACCATTTTGTTGACATGTCCACTGGGTTTGGTTCCCTGAATTTTACTGCAGAATGGAAAGGGTGTTCACTATAGTACGGTTTACAAGAGTGACACATATCTGAATGTCCATCAGCAGAGGAATGATTAAATAAATTACAGGCCATTCAGTCTGGAAACACTATACAGTTGTCAAAAGGAATGACGTAGATCTGTAATTACTGGCAAGGGATATATGGTGAGATGAAAAAAGCAAATTGCTAGGGCAGTAATGCGTAGTAAGATTACGTGTTTGAAAAAAAGTAAATTAAAATGGAACTATAAACACACACATACACATATATATGTCTGCATATACATAAAAAAGGTCTAGAAGGCTATTCCTTGAGGGGCATGTAATAGCTTTTTAACGAAAAAATAAACAACAACAAAGTAAACTTAAGTTCAGGAAGCCTGGCGTAAAAGGGGGTGAATGGCTCACAGCTCTCCCCCCCATTATCTCCTGTTCCGACACCATTTCTCTCCTGTCTTCCTGTCCAAACAAAGGAATGATAATTTTACTCCCTTCCTTCCCTCTCCTCAGGCTTGGAAGGACTGTAACACCATTTTTCTCTCAGGTAGGGGGCTTGGGGTAGAGGCACACAACAAGGTTTGAGGCTCCATTCAAATCCTAACCAATTGCAAATGAACCTCAAGATCTACTTTGCTTTATGTACCCCTTTTTTGGTTGTTGTTAACCCAGATACCTGTTGGTTTCTTTGTGGCCCTTGTTTTCAGGCTAAATCTCTTATCACTGAGGCATCACATCCTTTGCCACCTGAGTCTGCCAACCTACTTATTTGCTCTAGACCTGCCCAACAAAGGGCGGCTCCCTCAGTTCTCCTTTCCATGGGAACCCGCCCTGGAATTCTACTTCCTTTCTCTTTCCTTCTCTTTCCTGGGCTTGGGCCAGTGGGGTGCAGTGAGACTCTGAGAGCGGTGTACCGTGACAGAGAGGACACAGGCTTTGGAGTAAATCAGTACTGGGCACAAAATCCTGCCTCGGCCTTTATTAGCCACACGACCTTGGGAGAATTTAACCTCTGAAAATTTCTTAATTACCCCGAACCTCAGTTTTTGCTTCTGTAAAATGAGAATAAAACCTGCTCACGAGGTTGGGATAAGGAATAAGCAAGATGAGAAAGAACAACAACAAAACAAGCCAATTAAAAAATGGGTAAGGACTTGAATAGAGATTTCTTTAAAGGAGATATTAAAAAAAAAAGAAAAGATATGCAGATGGCACACAAAAAGATGCTCAATATCACTAATCATTAGGGAAATGTAAATCAAAACCATAAAGAGATAGCACTTCACACCCACTAGGAATGCTACTATAAAAAAAAAGAAAGAAAAGAACGAGTGTTGGTGAGGTGTGGAGAAATCAGAACCCTGCGCACTGCTGGTGGGATACAACATGGTGCAGCCGCTGTGGAAAACAGTGTGGCAGGTCCTCAAAAAATTAAGCAGAATTACCACGTGATCCAGCAATTCCACTTCTGGGTATATAGCTGAAAGAACTGAAAGGAGGTACTCGAGGAGAAATTTGTATACCCATATCCCTAGCAGCCTTGTTCACAATAGCCAAAGGGTGGAAGCAATCTCTTGATGGATGAATGGATAAACAAAATGATATAGTACATGTATATATAATGACGCATGTATGATATTATCCAGCCTTAAAAAGGAAGGACGTTCTGACACATGCTACAACATGGACGGACTTGAGATGCTAAGTGAAAAAGCCAGATACAAAATGACAAATACTGGGGGCATCTGGGTGGCTCAGTCGTTAAGCGTCTGCCTTCGGCTCAGGTCATGATCCCAGGGTCCTGGGATCGAGCCCCGCATCGGGCTCCCTGCTCAGCGGGAAGCCTGCTTCTCCCTCTCCCACTCCCCCTGCTGGTGTTCCTGCTCTCGCTGTGTCTCTCTGTCAAATAAATAAAATCTTAAAAAAAAAAAATGACAAATATTGTATGATTCCACTTATATGAGGTACCTAGTCAAATTTACACAGATAGAAAGTAAAATGCTGGTCATTAGGAGCTGGAGGGAGGGGGAATGGGGAGCTACTGTTTAATCGATACAGAGTTTCAGTTTGGGAAGATGATACAGTTCTGGAGATGGACGGTAATGATGACTGAACAACAGCGTGAATGTTAATCAACACTTCATGCCGCCAAACTACCAAAACATGGTTAAAATAATAACATATTATGTATATTTTACCACAAATTAAAAAAAAAAAAAGAAAGGGAAACTTTGCCCAAGTCCTAACTTCTCACTTAGCTGCCAAAGCATCACCTCTTTTCCCTACGGGTAGGTTTATTCTAGAGGTCCTCTGCCTTTTCCTCCAGAACAACCTTCCAGGAAAGATGCAATCTGTGGTCTCACGCATGGCACTAAATTGATCTGGAACAGGCACTGCACCCTTCTTGGTCTGTACAAACCACATCCATTCTTCAAGGTTAAGTGCTCCCTCCCATTCCATTCCCCACTCATGAAGCCTTTGCTGACCAATCTAGACTTCGATCCACTTCTCCCTCTTGTCTCTCACTGGATAACGGACATTCCAAATTATGTGCATCATGGTCACAGGGGACAGTGTCTTCAACTTCCCTGGGGTTGTCACTCGTTTTCACATCAGTATAGTAGATAATGTGTGTCCTAATGAATGACGAATGAGGCCGTGTACCTGAAAACAGAGGTGCATAGACCAACCAAGGTTTGGTTCCTCCCTTACCCTACCGTACACAACGAAAACCATCAGTGACTATCTGATGCTTTGTCTGGCTCAGCTTGGTTACTAAACAAAAGACCGGAATTCTTTCTCAGTGTGATGAGGTGGATCCCTGCCTGAGCATAGCTCCAGGAACCAATGGATTTTGATGCTGGAGTGTATCATCAGAGGAGTGGAATTAAAAAGCAGGCAGAATTCCTTTCCAGGAAAAGGTGGGTCTCTAACAAGCACCCGTTAATAATAATAACCAATGTTATTGAGTGCTTACTAGATATGAGACACCGTGCTAGGTGTTTTATATGGGTTATCTCATTTAATCTTCATGAATAAGCTCATAAGATAGGTACCATTTCCCCCTTTTACAAATGAGAAAACTGGAGCTTAGAGAATGGATCACTCACTGAAGGTCACAAAGCTTTAAGTGGTAGCACTGGGAACTGGCCCAGGTCCATGTGATTTCAGATTCAAACTGCACCAAAACAAGCATTTTGGTTGCCCTCCGCAGCTTCCCAGGACCTTTTCCGGTGTGAGGCCGGCACAGGGAAGTGGGAGGGTCACTGCATCTGGGCTGAGGCCTCAGGGAATTCCAGGCCTGGGCTGGAGGTGGGGGAATATTAACAAGTCTCCACCATTCGTATCGGGCAAGGGCCTTCACCTACCTCCTGGAGAAGGCGTGGTTAGCAGGCTAGTCATTGCAGCAAGAGGACTGGGCACCAGGGAGAGGCAGATCTGTATGAAGAGGGACAAAGACAGGCGTGAGGTGGGCCCCTACTGGGGCTGGAGACACTGAAGTCCCAGGAAAGCCTTTGAAAGAGCCGGGTTTTCCCGGATTCCTTCCCGCATGGGGCTAGTCCTAAACCCTTCTCTTTTGGTTTCCCTGAGTATCTCTTCAGGCTGCAGGTGCCAAGAGCAGAGCCGAGACCTCTGGTACTTGGTGTGGGTTGCCTTTGACCGTACTACCCCGAGATCCTTTCACCTGGCCACCACATTTACCTAAGGGATTTCTCCCGGCCTGAGAAAGTTAGGCGAAGCTATGCAAATTAACAGCGGACCCAGTTTCACCAAGCGGCAGGCACAGGTACCCCGCTCTTCCCCGAGCCGCGAGTCTGCGCGCAACCGTCCACTAGGGGTCAGGAGAGGGCCGGGAGGGCAGGACGCGACGGCTCCGGTGCCCGCGTGGGGGCAGGGCAGGGCCGGGGCCTGGGGGCCGGGAGCCAGACACTTGAACGTGGAGGTGAGGGGCCTCAGTCCCCTTCAGGCCTGTCCCCGACCAGCCGCTGTCCCGCGCGGGCCCGCTCCCCCCCAGCCCTCCCCTGCCTGCCGAACCCCACCGGCCGGCCGGTAGCGCCGACCCCACTTGGCCCGGCCGGGGACTCGGCGCCCCGCGCGGACGTCGAGGCTCGCGCGGCGACGACCCGGCGACCCGGTCTCCTCCCCGCCTCCCGCCCCGGCCCTCCCGCGTTACCGGCACACGGCTGCCGGGGCGGCACACGGCTCCCGGGGCAGTCCGCGGCGCGCGCGGCCGTCGGTCCGAGCAGCCCGCTCCGAGCGGCCGCGACGGGAGAGGCTCCGGCCGCTCTGGGCTCGCGTCGCTCGGGCGGCCGAGGCGACTGCGGTGTGCGTGCGGCCCCCGGGCTCGCCCGGCCTCGCCCGGCCTCGCCCTCCCCCGATGCCCTCCTCCGCGTGCTCAACCTACCAGTCGGACGGGCGGCCGGGGGAGGGCCCCGCGCCACTCCGCGCGTCCTTTTGAACTCGCCGGGGGCGGGAACGGCGGAGGTTCGCGGAGAGCCGCCGAGGGACACAGAGCGGGAGGAAGCCGCGGACGGACGCGCGGAGCGAGCGGCGGAGGCCGGCCGGGAGTGGGGGTGGAGGGACCGGCCGACTGGGTGGGACAGGAAAAGAGGAGAGAAACCGCCCTCTGCAGGTTCCCTCTGCCTGCCCGGCCGCCTCTGCTCCCCCGGGAGGAAAGGCTGCTTTTCCTTGTCCGATTGTCACTTTACTCTCCACCCGGAGCCGCTTCCTCCTTCGGCCCGAGGCTGCAGACGGCGTGGGATCGGAACTGGGATAACTGGGATCTGTCCGCTTGCCCCCCATCGACGTAATTTGAATTTCCAGCAAATGTGAAAAGTTACATTTACTTGCGTTTGCATATCATTTACGTAAATAAGGTCGGTGTCCAGAATCTTGGAGTGTAAGCTAACTCAGGCGCACCGCGGCGGGGAAGCTGGGAGGACTGGTGGGGAGGGGACCAGTGCCCCGTCCGGATCTTCCTCGTCTGACGTTCTTCTGAGGCCGTTTAGTATAGAGGTTAAGAGCGTCGCGGACTTTGGATTCAAACAGTCCCAGCCCCGCCGCTTGTTAGCTGTGTCGCTTTGGGCGAATTACTTAACGTCTCTAAAATCTGTTCCCTCGTCCCTGAAATGAAGCCATACCATAGCCACACGTTTAGCACTTGGTGAGCACCTCAATTTAACTGTTAATCAATGCCATACTTTAGCCATCTTGACTCACTTCTCTGTGGCAGGAAATGTTCCCAAATTAATGAACTCAGTGACTAAGGTTGTAATACTATAAACACAGGCTCTGGAATGCGCTCTGCCGTGTGATCTTAGACAAGCGACTTCGGTTTCATTTCTCTATCTGGGGCCATACCTGTCTCATGAAGGTACTGGGGGGAGAGAATGAGTTAATACATCTAAAGCATTAGAACCTTACCTGGCACATAGTAAGTGCTCAGTAAATGTTAGCTATTTTTATCTTGGCTTCCTATTTAGGGTTAGGACTCTTCCTATTTAGGGTTAGGACAGGTTATTCTGCCAGTGATACAGATTTCCTTGCTTGCTTATTCCTGTGAGGAGTTCTCTAGTTTTGGAAATCAGTATTTATATAGACTGATAGGTCTGGTGCATGTTCATTTGGGGAATAAAGACTGACAGAAAATCTCAGAATAGAGGCATGGTGTGAGGAAAAAAGCGAAAACATAAAGTAAGCAAGGGTGGTTGCTTTCATTGCTAAAGATATTATTTGGTTGGTAAAAACCAGAGGAAAAAACAGAGTAAGTTGATGAAATTCATTTTATTTAAATATATTTTTAAAGGCACAGTAGTTATCAATGAGGAAGAAGAAAGCCCCTATGTGGGAAAACTACCAATCCAACCAAGAAAGGCAGAGAGAGTAACACATAGGCAAGATGTATGTAAGTTAAGAAAAATGTCAGCCTGGTTAGTTCTCAGATAAAAGAATATCCAAGAGAAAAGGAAATTCAAATCCTAAGGGTTAAATTCTGAAGGTGGATAATTGCTTGCATTTACTGACAGGCTGATCATGAATTCCAGGAAAGGTTGAGATTTTTTTGTTATCTGGTTAATCTCCCTCATAGCATATTCCATTACGTACTAACGATTGTCCCCACCCACCGCAGACTTTTTTTTTTTTTTTTTAAGATTTTATTTATTTGACAGCAAGAGAGGGAACCCAAGCAGGGGGAGTGGGAGAGGGAGAGGCACGCTTCCTGCTGAGCAGGGAGCCCGATGTGGGGCTCGATCCCAGCACCCTGGGATCATGAACTGAGCGGAAGGCAGATGCTTAAGGACTGAGCCACCAGGCGCCCCCCACCGCAGACTCTTAGAGGCCATGCAGCCCAAATGACTCTACTGAAATGTCATGTTACTTTCACAATTTCATGGTTAATCACTCACAAGTAACTTTTTTCTCTTTAAAATGTAACCTTAAAAGATTTGCTGGTACATGATTTTATCCCTGTAGGCACATACCATTCATTTAAAAAGTGTAAATATGCAGAAAAATAAGATCCAATATTCATGTGCTCAGCACCTAATCTAGCGTAAAATAGCAATACTGTAAGCAGTGTGTGTATGCTGTTCTTTGGTGTATCTTGTACATCCTGCCTGTGTCATGTTTCCAGTGTTCTCTAGATGTCTCACCTAGCCTGTCAATATTGTCCTTCAGATTGCTGGAAGGCAGGGATTGGGTGATGTTCTTGCAATTAATTTTATATAGAGCTGCATCCAGATAAATGATGAATGGGGCCTCACTGGTGGTGATGTAGCAGTGTTCTCCAAGGATTGAATGCTAAACTTCAGAAACTGGAGCAGCCTTCCTTTTGTCAACAGACCGCAGGGGCCTCAGGGCAGGGAATAAGAGATACTCATCTCTGCCCAATTTACTGGCTTCTAGCCCCTTCTTGTGCTGCTGCCAGGATGGCAGTCTTCTAAATCCTAGCCTTTCCCCTGGACAACTTTACCATTATTTAAAAAAGATTTTATTTATTTACTTAAGAGAGAAAGAGAGAACACAATCAGGAGGAGGAGCAGAGAGAGAAGCAGATTCCCCACTGAGCAGGGAGCCGGATGCGGATGTGATGTGGGGCTGGATTCCAAGGACCTTGGGATCATGATCCGAGCCGAAGGCAGATGCTTAACTGACTGCGCCACCAAGGAGCCCCAGCTTTACCATTTTGTAAATCAGGGGTCAACAACTTGGTTCCTAGCCAAGACTATCTATCCTAAATAAGCAAAATTATTAGTTAGGTCCAGCATACCGGCCCCTTCCCCTGCCTTGCTGGAACCTTATTTAGGGCCATATGCACATGAAGTGGCAACCTCACAATTTAGTAAAGGTCTCCACTTTTGTTGTGCCTCTGCCATAGCAGTTACTTTGGGTGCGTGTCTCCCCACATCAGACTGTAAGTCCCTAGAAGTCCTCGCTGGCACACTCCTTTCCTAGGAGGGGAAGCCTTGCAAAGAAAAGGCTTGAATTGGATTTTGCTGGATGAATGTGGGAGAGGCGATTCCAAGCAGGTCACGGAAGGCCTTGGACATTTCCCCCACCCCGCCGATACCCCTGGACTATCACTCCTAGCCGTGACTCTGAGTGCCAAGGGAATGGGATGCCTTATGGGAAAGGTATTAAAATATAGGCAGTAGGGCTTTCATGGGGGGGCATGCAACCTCTTCTCCATTTCAGCAGTAGAAATCTTTGGAAGGCTTTTAAGTAAAAGTAGCAGGATTAGATCTTAGAAGAATGACTCCTAAATACAAACATTTATTTCCAGCTCCCTAATGGACACATCTACTGGAAAGTCCTGGAAGTTCTCAAGCTCCTTGTTTCCAATGTTTGTACGGGACAACCAATAAAGTACACAGAAAGTATATAATGTGATCAGTTTTGACACATGTATGTACTCATTAAACAATCGCCACAGCATTATATTTCCATCTCTCTGAAAGTTTCCGTGTGCACCCCCTCCCACCGCCACTGGTCTACCTGTCACTGTAGACACTACCATGCCTCTCCATAAACTGGGCCAGTCTCATTCTTTCTCCAGGGGATCTGGATCTGGAAAGGACAGAGGCAGAAGGTGATGGAAGCGGAGTCTTGCTTACAGGGCCGTCCAACACATTCCTGCGACAGACAACCTGGGGTGGTTCTTGTCCTCTCCCGTTCTTTCAGTTCTATGAGCTGCCTAATGTCCTCACAACATATTCTTTATTGCTTCATCGGGGCAGTTTGTTGTTTGCGAGCAGAGAACCCACACGCAGTGATGCCTGTCCTCCTGTTACCATCATTTCAGAGAATGGCACCACCAAAGCCTAGTCTCTCAAGCCTAACCCAGAGTAATTCACTGTAACTTCGGTCATGTCTCCTCTTCTAACACATTCCTAAATCCTGCCCATTCTGCTCCCTGCTCAATAGTCTGTCTCCATAAAGTTCTCACTTTTTTTCCTCATTATTTCTCTAGTACCTAGTATGGTGCTTGGTGCAGAGCAGGTGCTAATAAATGCTTGCTGAATGCATGAATTGCGACATTGTCCATAACCCCAGAAACAGAAGCAAAAATGGAGGAGCATCTGCATGTGTGTGTTTATTAGGGTGGCAGAACTTCAAAGTGAGTTTTTAATGTTTTCACGGAAGTAAATGATAGGACTTGAATACAGGATTTCGGATTCTAAATTCCTCACCATTTCCATGCTATTATTGTACTTTGTATCCTTTCCCTTCACTTCGGAGTTCCATTTCTCCTTCCATCCTGCTCAGATACTCAGTTACACCAAGTAGCAGACTGTGAACACTAGCTACAGCTCTAAAATGTAACCCCTTTCCCAGGGTATTTGCTTGTTAGCTGAAAGTGGGGGTGGGGGCATGCCATAGAGCATCTGGATTGAGGAAAGGAGCCTGGGGCCCCTGGCGTCATTCCGACTGGGGCTGGGGGTCAAGGATGTGACTAAAGCTTTCTGAACGTGAGGTAGAATCAATAACCTTACCTAAGTGGAGAACACAGTGCTGGGCTGTAACTCTTTGTGTCAAAAAAACAATCCATAACACAGTCAGAGTAATACTTTATTTAACAACCTGAAAATCTGTTCTTTTGCCTCTAAGTCTTGCAAAATGAGCGGTTCACTGTTCTCTGAGTATGTGTGGTAATGAGTCTCTATGTGGACGTGTCTCTGTCTACAGATGCTTATGCTTTTTATAGTCATTTTAGGCCCACTTTACTTAATATATAAAGTCTTTTTATTCTAACAATGCTAAAGCCTGAATTAAATATTCCCGGGATCTAATAGTTTCTTCTCCTAAGCCTGCTGCCCTCCCTCCCCTAAGTCTGCTCCTCAGCCTCCATTAATGCTAGATCTTTAGAGACCACCAGCGTTCATATGGTTGGAGAACCTAAAAATGAATGCTAGGTCCCTCTGACCTATATACCCTCTAGCTGAGGAGCTTGTCTGGGGAGGTGTGTGTGGAGGTCTTGACAGTTTCCCTTCATAGGTAGTCAGTTTGAACTGTAGATACCTGGAAAATAAACAGGATTGGGTTAGATGCTGATCTGCCCTCCCACCAACTGGGGGGGGGGGGTGTTTCTCTCTTAAGGAGTGGGCATCATGAACTGGGTGAACTGACCAGGTCTGCCTTTTCTTCTTGGATGTTAGGAAGTGTGGAACCAACTTTGTGGTCCATCCTCCACAGTTTTATTTTATAGAATGTGTTTTTGTACTTGCCTAACTCATGGCTCCATTTTAGGTCACTGTTACTAATTTACTTCTGAGTATATTTTGTGTGTGTGTGTGTGTGTTTAC